TATTCGCAGGAGAGGTTGTGGGGTAAAAGGAAGACTCCTGTATTACTAGTATGAGTACAAGCAGGTACAGTCACTTTGGATGTCAGTGTGGCAGTTTCTCAGAAAATTAGGAAACAACCTTCCTCAAGACCCAGTAATACCACCTTGGGGTATATATCCAAAGGATGCTCAATCTTGCCACAAGGACACGTGCTCAACTATGCTCATAGCAGCATTGTTTGTTATAGCCAGAACCTGGAAACAACCTACATGCCCCTCAACCGAAGAATGAATAAGGAAAATGTGCACATTTACACAATGGAGTATTACACAGCAGAAAAGAATAACAACATCTTGAAATTTGCAGGAAAATGGATAGAGCTAGAAAATATTATTTTGAGTGAGGTAATCCAGACACAGAAAGACAATTATCACATGTACTCACTCATAAGTGGCTTTTAATCGTAAAGCAAAAAAAAGAAAACCCCACAAATCACAATCCCAGAGAACCTAGACAATAATGAGGACCCTAAGAAAGACATACATGGATCTAATCTACATTGGAAGTAGAAAAAGGCAAGGTCTCATGAGTAACTGGGAACATGGGGACCTTGGGAAAGGGTTGAAGGAAAGGCGAGAGGCAGGGTGGGGAGCAGAGAAAAATGTAGAGCTCAATAAAAATCAATAAAATTAAAAAATACAAATTTTCTTTGTGGAAATTATTATTATTTATTTTCTTTTGTTGTAGTTGTATGTGTATACACACACACATGCATTTGGAGGCAGAAAGACAAACTTACTGTCATTCCTTGATGTGCATTACCCTCTGTATGTTTTATTATCATTGGTTAATAAAGAAGCTACTTTGACCTGCCGCAGTGCAGAAGAGAGAGAGGTGGGAAAACTAAACTGAATGCTGATAGGAAGAGGGATATCAGAGAGATATCATGTAGCTGCTGAACAAGACAGACTCCAGAACCTTATCAGTAAACCATGAGCCTTGTGGCAATACATAAAATAATAGAAAAGGGTTAATTTAAGATCTAAGAGGTAGTTAATAAGAAGTCTAAGCTAAGCCGGGCAGTGTTGGCTAATGCCTTTAATCCCAGCACTAGGGAGGCAGAGGTAGGCAGATCTCTGTGAGTTCAAGGCCAGCCGAGTCTACAAGTGCTAGTTCCAGGACAGGTTCTAAAACTATAGCGAAAGCCTGTCTCAAGAAAAAAAACAAAAGACAAAAAACACCACCACCACCACCAAAAAATTCGAAGCTTATAGGCCAAGCAACGTTGTAATTATATAGTTTCTGCGTGATCATTTCAGGTCTGAGAAACAAACAAGCTGACTCTGCCTACAATTTCTCATGAACTTACTACCATGTTTACACAAGAAAATTTCCTCCTTACCCTATTGTTTATTTATTAGGGCTATAATGCCTAGCCAGACATGCTCAAGAATCTGTATGTTTTATATCATGTTGTGCATGAATATGTGTGTATCATATCTGTGCCATGGCACATGGGTGAAAGGCAGAAGGCAACTTTCAAAGTCACTTCTCTCTTTCTGCATAGGTTTGGGAGACTGAACTCAGGTAGTCAAACTTTTGAAGCAACTGCTTTCACCTGCTGAACTGTTTGAGTGTGTGTGTGTGTGAAAGAGAGAGAGAGAGAGAGAGAGAGAGAGAGAGAGAGAGAGAGAGAGAGA